GGAGGAGGAGGAGGAGGAGGAGGAGGGGGAGGAGGAGGAGGAAGGGGAGGAGGGGGAGGAGGGGCGGAGGGGAGGGAATAGAGGGTGAGGAGGGGGGAGAGGTAGATGAGGGGGAGGCGGATGAGTAGCAGGAGGAGTAGGAGAGGGAGAGAGGTGAGGAGGATGAAGTAAGGAGGAGGAGGAGGGGGAGGAGGGAGGAGGAGGAGGAGGAGGTGGAGAGGAGGAGGAGGAAGAGGAGGAGGGAGGAGGTAGAGGAGGAAGGAGGAGGAGGGAGGAGGTGGAGGAGGAGGAGGAGGTCTGAAGGAGGAGGAGCGCACGCTGTGTTGCCGCGAGTGCGCGCGGCGCCGGCGCCGCGAAGCGAGGGAACCCACCTTCGACACGGAGCACCGGCCTCCGCTGCCGTGGCGGTTGCGAGCCGTGTCAAAAGCGGAGGCACGCGGCGCCACGGACAGAGCCCCACCGTGAAGAGGACCCGCCCGCCGTGCCTGTGGCCGCGGCGGTGTTCTGTAGTCGACTGTGCGCGGTGCCAAGGCGAGGGCCGACCTGTGGAAGCCACCAGCCACCCTTGCAACGGTTGCAAGGAGTGTGGGAGGAATGCGCGCGGCGCTGAGGCGAGAGCTTCAATTTGACACGCACACACACACACGCACACACAAATACGTGCACACACAAGCAGAAGCACACGCACACACAAACACTCACAACCACACAAATACACAAGCACACAAACACACACACACACACACACACACCACATACACCACACACACAGACACGCGCACACGCGCACACACACACGCGCGCACACGCAAACACACACACACACACACACACACACACACACACACACACACACACACGCATACACACACGCACAACGCACACGCAAACGCACGCGCACACCCGCACGCACGCACGCACGCACGCACTTGCACTTGCACTTGCACTTGCACTTGCACTTGCACTTGCACTTGCACTTGCACTTGCACTTGCACTTGCACGCACACACACACACACACACACACACACACACACACACACACGCACGCACGCACGCACGCACGCACGCACGCACGCACGCACGCACGCACGCACGCACGCACGCACGCACGCACGCACGCACACACACACACACACACGCGCGCGCACGCACGCGCGCACGCAGCTCGCCCCTTGAATCTTCTGGGTATGCCCCCTGCCGGCACTAGTGAGAAGTCAGGGCTGTTGCCCCACCTAATCGCAGGGGATTTTGCCAGTCGCGCGCACGGCACCCGCGTAGGTGTTGCCGTTGACCCCCTTATGCGGATGTCCTGCCCTGTCCTGCTCCTCCGCCGCCTCCGCCTCCGCCTCCTCCTCCTTCTCCTCCGCCTCCTCATCATCATCATCATCATCATCCTCTTCCTCCTGAAATGCGAGAGAGCCCGTCATGGTGACGTTCACGTCGGCTCCCTCGCGCAGCAGCTTCTGCACGAGCTTCGCGTCCCCGTCGTAGGCCGCCTTTAGCGGAGAAGGGCGCGTCGGGGGTGAGGAGGAGGAAGAGAAGGAGGAGGAGGAGGAGGAGGAGGAGGAGGAGGAGGAGGAGGAGGAGGAGGAGGAGGAGGAGGAGGAGGAGGGGGACCTCACCCCCCCCTATGCCCGACTGGGAGGGGGTCAAGGATGCAGCGCTCGGGGGATCAGCGGCGTGCATCGAGGCATGGCCCCGCGGAGGCCTGCAAACGCCTCTCGGGGTCCAGGCAGGGCGAGGCGACGTGCAAAACCTCAAACCTCTACCCTATCTCGATCCTCCTCTGTTGATCCTCCAGCCCAACCTCTCCTCCTCCTCCTCCTCTCTCCTTTTTTTCTTCCTCCTCCTCCTCCTCCTCCTCCTCCATCTCTTCAATCTCCTCGTCCTCCTCCTCCTCGTCCTCCTCCTCGTCCTCGTCCACGTCCTCCTCCTCCTCTTCCTCCTCCTTCTCCTCCACCTCCTTCTCCTCCTCCTCCTCCTCCTCCTCCTCCTCCTCCTCCATGTCTTCATATCCTCCATCTCCTCCATCTCCTCCTCCTCCTCCTCCTTTATCACCCGGCCGACTCAAATGTAGGACCCATGTGGGCACACCCGTAGGGAAAGAACTTCTCGGGCGCGCCGAAGAACCCAGGGGATACGGTTCCCGCGGAGGAAAGAAGTTCTTGGCGAGGCGTTCGAGCACGGGGGTAACCCCCGTCTCAAATTTCGTCGGGAGAGGAATGAACACTCAGCCGCGGGGGTGCTCGCGCGCGGGGTTCCGCCGCCCCCACCTCCCTGCGCAACCAGAGGAAAAGCGCGAGAGCCCAGGTTGCAAATGCTACCCAGCAACATTCTAGAAATGGTTATGCCAAAGTTGTGCCAAGACTTGCGCTGGAATCTAAAGGTTCTACTGTGCTTACGGCTGATTCAGTTCCCCTCGTGTTTTGCTTTAGGACCAGGTGCACTCTGGTATTAGCTGCACGCTCATAAACGCTAGTGTCAGTTGCACTCGAGTGCTAAGCATACTTCAATCAAAAAGGGTTCAGGAATTCCAGTGGCAAGGCGCGCGCGGAAGAAAGAGCAAGTTCCACGCGCCGCCAGGGGTCCGAGGCTTGACGGGTCGCCGCGGAGAGGGACGCCCCGCGGAAGACAGAAAAGACATCCGGCCACGGGGATGGGAGCACCAGGCATGCGTCGGGGAGGTGATCACTCTACCTCCTCTTCCTGCTGCTGCTGCTGCTGCTGCTCCTCCTCCTCCTCCTCCTCCTCCTTCTCCTCCTCCTCCTCCTCCTCCTCCCTCCCTCCTCCTCATCTCTCCTCCTCCTCCTCCTTCCTCCTCCTCCTCCTCCTCCTCTCCTCCTCCTCTCTCCTCCTCCTCTCTCCTCATGTCTCAATCTCATCCTCCTCCTCTCCTGTCCTCCATCTCATCTCCTCCTCCTCCTCCTCCTCCTCCTCCTCCCCTGTCCTCCCCTCCACCGCCTTCTCCTCTTCCTCCAGTCTCAATATCCTCCTCCTCCTCCTCATCTCCTCCCCCTCCTCCTCCTCCTCCTCATCCTCCTCCTCCATGTCTTCAATCTCCTCCTCTCCATGCCACTCGTCTGAGCGGCCTTCATCAGGGCGGGCCACTTCCCGCCCTCGCTGGCGGCGGGCGGCTGCGGCGGCGCCGGCGCGCCGTGGAGCAGCGGCGGAGATCTCGACCTTCGTGCCGCCGCCGTTGCCGACGTCGTTGTCGCCCTCGTCCTCCTCGTCCTCCTCGTCCTCCTCGTCGTCCTCCTCCTCCTCCTCCTCGTCCTCCTCCTCCTCCCGTCCTCCTCTTCCTCCACGTCCTCCTCGTCCTCCTCGTCCTGCTCCTCCTCTCTCGTCCTCCTCGTCCTCCTCCTCCTCCTCGTCGTCCTCGTCGCTGTTGTCGTCGTCGACGTCCTCCTCGTCCTCCTCCTCCTCCTCCTCCTCCTCCTCCTCCTCCTCCTCCTCCTCCTCCTCCTCCTCCTCCTCCTCAAGTCCTATTCATCATGCGCAACTCCTTCCTGCCGCACCCAGAGACGTATCGGTAGGGCGAGCCGGGAGTTCTGCCGGAGACGTCCGTACCACATTTGCCTTTAAACTTGAACTTTGCAAGAGCTTCACGGATGGAGGGCGGGCGTTCGTCTTAGAAGCTTGCAGAAGCTTCACGGATGGAGGGCGATTCCTTTTCACACGCCCTAGCGCCGCGCACGTTCGTCACAAGATTTTGCAGCAGTTTCAAAGATTAGTATGGCTGGCGTTATAGAAATCGTGTTTTCTTTGTGGCAAGATGTAAGACTGTCAGCGCGCAACAGTCACGTTGATTCGCTGTATTGAATTCTGAGGAACGGTGTTCTGGCACGACTCATGATCGCCAGGACCGTTGATTCGCGGCGTCGAAGTCCTAGGACCATTCCGAATGGTATCCTGGCACGGTTCAAGATTTTCAAGCGCTCGTTTTCCAACCGGACACTTCCCTCAGTGAAAATGAACCCTTGTAGTGGTTGATGAAGCGGGAACTTGGAGGGAGGGTTTATTGCAACATGTTTGGTGAGCCTTAGGTTTACACTGGTCCTCATCCTCATCCTCCTCGGGCTCCTCCAGCTACTGCTCCACCCGCTCTTCCTGCTTTTCCTCCTTCTTTTCCACCTCCCTCCGCCCATGTCCTCCTTCTCCTCCTCAACCTCCTCCACCCACTCCTCCTTCCCCTCCTCCAGCCCTCCTCCCTACTGCCTCCTCCAGGGGCCCCTGGTGGATTGTGGGGAGCGCCTGGCCTTCCAGGGGGGAGTGGATCGCTTGTGGGTAGCCGCGAACAGCTGCTCCTCACTTCACAGCTTGTCCCGAAACGAGGCGTGCCGCCCTCTCGAGGCTCGGGTCTGCCTGGGCACGCCCTCGGCCACGGGAGCGGACGGTGCCTCCGTGCCTCCGCCGCGGAAGGACGAGGGCACCTGCCGCGGAGCGCGCCTGCAGTCCGCCAGCGCCCCAGGGGGCCCAAGCAGCGCCCGGGGGCCCCCCACCAACCCCGCGGGAAGGGGAGAAGGGGGGAGGGGGGACAGATGAGGAAGGCAAGCCGGGTGCGCACGCGCGCGCGCCATATTTGGCATCCGACCCTTCGCACCCATCCTTTCCCAGGGGAGATGGATCCCCGAAGTGGTCCCCTATCGTGTGATGGGCAATCCGGAGGGGGAGCTGCGTACAGTGGCGGTGCTGGAAGAGGCGGCGGACGAGCGGAAGGGGCAGCGATGAGGAACGGGGAGGACGAGCACCAGGAGCAAGAACGGGAGGAACGGGATGAGCAGGAGGACAGAAGGAAGGCGGCGGAGGGGAAAGGAGGGTGGAGACAGCGATGAAGAACGACGGGAGCAAAAGTCTGCCCCTAACATGGGGCCACTGCTGAAGCGGGAGCGCTACTCTGAACATCGTGTTAAAACAATGTTCCGAATGGAAGGCCGCTGACCAAGCCCGCCACCACAAGCGCTAGGACCGACCTGTTGACTGCTGCGGCGACGACCTATGAGAGCGCCGCTGCTTTTCACTGCACGTGTGGGGGCCGAACCAAGCGCCAGCTGTACTTGACGAGAGCCAGGCTCGGGAGGCACAGGCCAAATCGCACTGTGCGGAGCAGCGAGGGCCAGAACAGCTGAGGTTCCAGAGAAAGGTGAGGCTACCATGCGCAAGTGTGGGCTGCGTGCGGGCGGGTGCACGTGAGCACGAATGCCACTGGACGAAACGATGGCATGGGGACGTGTGGCACTCTCCTTCGGGGCTGAGTTTCGCGTTCTGAGAACTGGACAGCCCGCCCCGCCATCACGAGCGCCAGGATTGACGAGTTAACTGCTGCGGCGACGATGACCGATGAGAGCGCCGCTGCTTTTCACTGCATGTGCGAGGACCGACCCAGGCGCCAGCCGTGCTTGACGTGAGCGGGACTCGCGAGGCACATGCGAAATCACAGTGTGCGGAGCGGCGAGGGCCAGAACAGATGAGGTTCCAAACCCCATAAAGAAGCCTTGGCCAGAGTGACACCTCAGGAGGGCCGAAAAAGTTACAAGGCATTCCGATGCCACGACACGCATTGACCAGAGAGAAAGATCATTCACAGGCGATGGTGGCCATGGCAGGCTTGAGCCTACACAGCGTAGCATGCTTGATGAACATAGCTATGCTATTCGCGAGGCCACACGGGTGCGCGGCAGCGAGAACGATCTACTTGCAGCCAAACGGGCTTCCGCCAGACAATATGACATTCTTGTTGCCCGCGCGCGAACAGTAGCCCCTGCGCCCAGGACAGAGCCTAGCGAGACCTTGGACGGATCCGAGACCCCGCGCGGCTGACCTAGCACGTTTCTGCCACAAGGCGTCGCACTGGCATTGATCGAGATCGCAGACCTGAGCATTAGGTGAAGGAACCAAAGCTGCGAGGGCTTTGGCATTCCACATTTGCGAGCTACCAGGATTCTCCAACATCACTTGTACATCTTCGTGCACAAGAGATTGCTGCGACGGGCGACGCAAACAAGGACGCGGCCTGCGCGCGGACGCGCGGTCTCAGGAGGTGACAGACAGTCGATGCCCGCGGGCTGGGCGCGGGGCCGCAGCGGCGGAGCGCTCTCGACCATGTCGCGCAGGGGGGCCCTGAGTGCACTGCGGCGACAGCGCGGCTGAGCAGTCAGCTTGCGCCCGCTCCCTCGAAGTCCAGACGCAGGTGGCCCCCCAGAGGCGACCGGAGAACGTTTGCTGAGGGCAGACAGCCCCAGGCGCTGGGCCGCGGCAGTGCCCGGAGCCGCCGAAGAGCTCGAGCACGACGCGGCGCTGGCACCGCGCCCCGCGCCCGACCGCAGCCTTGGGGCGGCGCCTGAGGTGATCGCGAACCTCTGAGCCGTGGCCGGGCCGCATGGGGCGGCTGGCCGCGGCGATCCGCCTCGCGGGCTCGCAGCAGGCTGGCGCCCCGCCCGCCCGCGGCGCATCTCGGGCCCCGTCTGCGCGGCCGCGCGAGCCTCGGAGGTGCGAGGTGCTGGCGCGCAGCGCCGATGAAGACCTCCTCGAGCAGCAGACAGAAGTTCTCTGCTCCACGATCGCGCAGCGCGAAGAGCTCTGGCGCCGCGCCGCGCAGCTCGCGCGGGGGGGGCGTCTCCTCCGCAAGCCGTCGCATCGATGACATCGCTGCCCAGCGGCCGCGGCCAAATACCTAATCCACGTACCCCATCTGAGCAGGCAGGTCGCCGCTCGCACCGCCATGGCGCACCCCGCGCAGGCAATGCCTACGGTGGGCGATCCCAAGGACCCCAATAGCCAGCGCAAAATACTTGATCATCTGGGTCAGGCTGAAGCTCCAGAGCGGCGTTGCTGTGCCCCCCTCTGCCGAGGAGCCACATCAGCCCCGCGACTCCAACGAAGGACTCATGGGGGCCCATCCGGAAAGAAAGAACTTCTGGGGCGCGCCCAGGAACTCAGGGGGTCCGGCTCCCGCGGAGGAAAGAAACAAATCCCTGGCGAGGGGTTCGAACACGGGGGTTACCCCCGCCTCAAATTCCGAAAAAGGAATGCATTCTCAGCCGCGGGGGTGCCCGCGCGAGGGCCCCCCCCAGCGCAACCAGTGGAGGGAAAACGTGAGAGCCCAGATTGTAAGTGCAATGCAGCAACACTTTAATAGTGGTTGCACTAGGGAGTCGTGCTAGCAATAGGGAGTTGTACCAGGGAGTCCTACTGGGAGAGTTGCACTAGGGAGTTGCACTTTAATACTTCCACGGCAGGACAATGTGCTCTCTAGGAGCATCTGCGCGCTAGCACATGATAGTACCAGTCGCACTCACGTACTAGTTGTACGGTAGTCGGAGGGGTTCAGGGGCTCCAATGGCAACTCGCGCGCGGAAGAAGGCAAGAACTCCATGCGCCGAGCTCTTGGACCTCCGCTCGGGCTCCACAGAGGGCAAGTACGAGATGCTCTCGGGCCAGGTCGTGTTCAAGTACTCAGCTGGGTCAGGCGGCGTGGGCCCGCTATGCCCCTAGCATCGGCGACTTCGGTACGGCAGGCTCGTGTCGTGCCGACTTCGGCGTTGGTTTCTGACACCGCGGGGATCGTTCCACCTTGAACGATCGGCCGCTTCCGAAACGTCCATTTCGCTCCACATCGAACGATTCTGGGTCGCCCGCGGCGTTCAAAATGGAACGCCGCTGGCGGGGTCGCCGCCGGTCGACTCTGGTGGCCACGATGGGGTGATGGCTACAGGGGAGTTGATATCATGGCCAGGGCCATGATATCTCCCAGGATTCCATGGCCCCCTCTTCTTCTCTGAACACGTCTCTCGGCCCCCCCCCCTCGTCCGCGCACATGCCTCGGACCATGATTTGCGAGCACCCCTTGGACTGGTAAGGCTTCGGGTTGCGCACAGGCAGCCCCCGTAGTCCCAGCTGACCTCAGCAGGCCCCGCGAGCAGTCCTGGGCGGCCTCAGCGCCCCCACTCTGGGGCGCGGAACGCCCCAGGGGCGCCGTATGGGGTCGCTCCTCCTCAGACGGTGGAGGTCTGGTGGTGCCCCCGCCAGCGTGCTCGGCGCCGCGTGCGGAGCCGGCGGCCTGCCGGCGCGGAGGCCCGAGTTCCTGCTGCGGGCCAGCGGAGAGACGGGCGGGGCAGGGTCCCGATGGGTCGTTCCTCGGTCCTTCCTCCACCTCCTCATCCCTCCCTCCTCCACCTCCTCATTCCTCCACCTCCTCATCCCGATGGGTCATTCCTCGGTCATTCCTCCACCTCCTCATCCCTCCTTCTCTTCACGTGCGCCCGCCCTCTGCTCCTGCAGCTCACTCCTCTGCGCGGTGCTTCTCGTCCCCGCGAGGCTTCTCTTCCCCCTGTCATGTCCAGCGTGGGGTGCCCCGCAGGGGCGAGCAGCGCATGCGCAATAGCAGAGATCTTGTGCGCCAGCTCGCTGGCGTGGTCGAAAGGCCGTTTTTTTGTTTTCTTTATTTCTTTCTTTCTTTCTTTCTTTCTGATTTTTTTTTTTACGGGCGCAGCCCGTAATTTGATTCTCGCGAGGTAGACACTGACAGACTGAACTGAACCACCAGGCCGTTAGATGGCAGTTTTATTTCCGCGGGTGAGGATATTTCGGGTGGCAGTTTTAATATTTCGGTGGCAGTTTTAAGCCAGCGGGTGAGAGATATTTCGGTGGCAGTTTTAAGCGCCAGCGGGTGAGGATGTTTCGGTGGCAGTTTTAAGCCAGCGGGTGAGGATATCTCGGGTGAGGATATTTCGGTGGCAGTTTTACGCCAGCGGGTGAGGATATTTCGGGTGGCAGGTTTAAGCCAGCGGGTGAGGATATCTCGCGTGGCAGTTTTAAGCCAGCGGGTGAAGATATTTCGGATGAGGATATTTCGGGTGGCAGTTTTAAGCCAGCGGGTGAGGATATCTCGGGTGGCAGGTTTAAGCCAGCGGGTGAGGATATCTCGGGTGGCAGTTTTAAGCCAGCGGGTGAGGATATCTCGGGTGGCAGTTTTAAGCCAGCGGGTGAGAATATTTGGGTGGCAGTTTTATGTCCGCGGGTGAGGATATTTCGGGTGGCAGTTTTAAGCCAGCTGGTGAGCATATTTCGGTGGCAGTTTTAAGCCAGCGGGTGAGGATATTTCGGTGGCAGTTTTAAGCGCCAGCGGGTGAGGATGTTTCGGTGGCAGTTTTAAGCCAGCGGGTGAGGATATCTCGGGTTAGGATATTTCGGTGGCAGTTTTACGCCAGCGGGTGAGGATATTTCGGGTGGCAGGTTTAAGCCAGCGGGTGAGGATATCTCGCGTGGCAGTTTTAAGCCAGCGGGTGAAGATATTTCGGATGAGGATATTTCGGGTGGCAGTTTTAAGCCAGCGGGTGAGGATATCTCGGGTGGCAGTTTTAAGCCAGCGGGTGAGGCCAGCGGGTGAGGATATCTCGGGTGGCAGTTTTAAGCCAGCGGGTGAGGATATCTCGGGTGGCAGTTTTAAGCCAGCGGGTGAGGATATTTCGGTGGAAGTTTTAAGCCAGCGGGTGAGGATATCTCGGGTGAGGATATTTTGGTGGCAGTTTTAAGCCAACGGGTGAGGATATTTCGGGTGGCAGTTTTAAGCCAGCGGGTGAGGATATTTTGCGTGGCAGTTTTAAGCCAGCGGGTGAGAGGATATTTCGGGTGGCAGTTTTAAGCGCCAGCGGGTGAGGATGTTTCGGTGGCAGTTTTTAGCCAGCGGGTGAGCATATCTCGGGTGAGGATATTTCGGTGGCAGTTTTAAGCCAGCGGGTGAGCATATCTCGGGTGAGGATATTTCGCGTGGCAGTTTTACGCCAGCGGGTGAGGATATCTCGCGTGGCAGTTTGAAGCCAGCGGGTGAAGATATTTCGGGTGAGGATATTTCGGGTGGCAGTTTTAAGCCAGCGGGTGAGGATATTTCGGGTGGCAGTTTTAAGCCAGCGGGTGAGGATATTTCGGTGGCAGTTTTAAGCCAGCGGGTGAGGATATCTCGGGTGGCAGTTTTAAGCCAGCGGGTGAGGATATTTCGGTGGAAGTTTTAAGCCAGCGGGTGAGGATATCTCGGGTGAGGATATTTTGGTGGCAGTTTTAAGCCAACGGGTGAGGATATTTCGGGTGGCAGTTTTAAGCCAGCGGGTGAGGATATTTCGCGTGGCAGTTTTAAGCCAGCGGGTGAGGATATCTCGGGTGGCAGTTTTAAGCCAGCGGGTGAGGATATTTCGGTGGCAGTTTTAAGCCAGCGGGTGAGGATATTTCGGTGGCAGTTTTAAGCCAGCGGGTGAGGATATCTCGGGTGGCAGTTTTAGGCCAGCGGGTGAGTATATCTCGGGTGAGGATATTTCGGTGGCAGTTTTAAGCCAGCGGGTGAGGATATTTCGGGTGGCAGTTTTAAGCCACGATGCACAAGTCCCAGGGCATGACAATTCCTTGTGTTGCTGCAAACTTGGGCGACACGGAAATGCATCTGGGCGGTACGTTTACCGTCTTGTCTCGGGTGCCTGCCTTGACTGGTCTTGCTTTGGAACGTGGCTTGAATTTCGACCGGTTGGCCAAGATCAACCAGAGCCGGTCTTTGTTGGCACGGAAAGAATACGAAGCTGCGAAATGGCCACCGCTCGAAGCCAATGCGCTTCGACATTTTCAGTCGGTCCTTGCAGAGCTGTTGCTGAAACGGGAGTCTCCCGAAGCAGCTGTGCTGGACACGATCGGCGGCTTGGCCGAAACAGCAGCTGAGCAATTGTCACTGCCTGACTTCACTGCGGAACTGTGAGCACTTTCTAGGGTGGAAACGCTGCGCAATCATCGTGGCGGCGACGGCCGGTGCCATTTCTACCATAATTTCTACCGGGAGAGTGCGGAAGGGCTCTCGCACGGGGGCGGCTTGTGCAGTTTGAGCAGAGATGGCACCCACGACGAAGAGGAGGGGGCAGGAGCAGGAGGAGGAGGAGGAGGAGGAGCAGGATGATGATGATGATGATGATGATGATGATCATGATGATCATGATGATCATGGTGCTGATGCTGAGGAGGACGATGATGATGATGATGATGATGATGATGATGATGATGAGGATGAGGATGAGGATGAGGATGAGGATGAGGATGATGACGATGAGGATTATGACGGCGGGGATGAGGCGATGGAAGGAGGACGAGGGAGGAGGAGGGGTGGAAGGAGGGCACGGAGATCGTGGAAAGGGTGCTCGCAAGGAGAGTGGCAAGGGGAAGAGGAAGGCGCTGGACGAGGAGGCCGACGAGGAGGAAGGAGGCGGAGGACAAGGCAAGAGGCGGCGGGAGGAGGATTTCATTGAAAATGGACGACGGGGGGGGGGAGATCAGCTCGAGGGCGGAGGACGCGGACGGGATGAGGAGGCGGCAGAAGGGAGGAGGAGGTGGAAGTGGAGGAGTCGTAGGAGGAGGAGGAGGAGGTGGAAGAGGAGGAGGAGGAGGAGGAAGAGGAGGGAGGAACCGAGAAGAGCTCTGTGCTCGGCCCGGGCATCCAGCCGCCACGCGATGCATCATCTGCATGGTCGGCCCAGCCGACGGCTACGCCTCCAGCGAGGTGCTGCGCCCGTATATATGCTCGCCCCTTGGCGTGGGGCTGGCGGGGGGCCAAGGGGCGAGCTGTCCGGTGATTCTCTCTCTATCTCTCTCTCTCTCTCTGAGAACAGTCACGAACATCCTCACAATAAGGTGCAGTAAGCCCCCCGACAAGCGAAGCCGTTTAGTAAGCGCACACAAGGAAGGACTCGAAGAGGACAGGGCTGTTCAGTAAGCGCCCAGGGCCGCTCAGTCAGTGCCAATTGCGGGGGTCGGGGTGTTTTTTTTCCTCTCTCTCTCTCTATCTCTCTCTCTATCTTTCTTCCTTTTTAATGATTTGTTTGTTTCTCTCTCTCTCTCTCTCTCTCTCTCTTTCTGTCTCACTCACTTTATCTGCTGGCCCCAGCGCGAGGACAGGGGAGGGGGCGCGGTGCGGTCGCCGAGAACTCGAGGGCCGAGATCTGGGCGTCGCACGGGACATCACCCCCTCGTGCCAGCATGGGACGGTCCGGGCGGAGGCGCACGCGTGGCGAGCCAGCCCCGACGCTCCTGAGGCGCGCGGGGCCCTCGCGTGGAGAGGGCAGCTCGGCGGGCTGCTGCTGCGCTCGCGCCAGCAGGCGACCTGCACCGGGCGCAGGAGTGGCCGCCTCGCCATGCCGGCAGATGAGGGGGGGAGCTGTGGGGGAGCATGTGGGGATGAGGAGAAGAACTACGAGCAGGAGCAGGCTGGCGACGAGGATGTGCGAACCTCCCTCTCGTTCCTTCCCCCAGGAGTCCAGCGCGCATTGTGTGTGTGCATGTGTGTAGATGTGTGTGTATAAGTGTGAGCAAGTGTGTGAGTGTGCGTAAGTGTGTGTACGTGTGTGTGTGTAAGTGTGTGTAAGTGTGTGTAAGTGTGTGTGTGTGTGTGTGCGTGCGTGCGTGCGTGCGTGCGTGCGTGCGTGCGTGCGTGCGTGCGTGCGTGCGTGCGTGCGTGCGTGCGTGCGTGCGTGCGTGCGTGCGTGCGTGCGTGCGTGCGTGCGTGCGTGCGTGCGTGTGTGTGTGTGTGTGTGTGTGTGGTGGGGTGGGCGAGGGGGGGGGGGAGGAGTGGGGGGGGCAGAGCTCATCACGGCGCCCTGACGGCTCTGCACGCAAAGCTCTGCTCGACGGAGCCTCCGGCACGGCACGAAGTCCCTTTGGGGTGCCTCAGCTGCTCCCAGGTGCACGACGAGCGCCCAGGGAAACCAGTGTATGAAGGGGCCCCGGGACACAGAAATGAATACACACACAAATAAACAGATTCCCCATATCTTCCCATATTTTCGGAGTTTTTGTCTTCCCCCCCCCACATCCCATATTTTCCCATATTTTCTTGGAAGTGGACGATTCATGGTGTCTGTGTGTGTGTTTTTTCCGCTCCTGAATAGTCTCGCACGGGCCACTCCTAGGCGAGCCCCTTGAGGCTTGTGCCTCTCAGCCGCAGCTGCGGCATCCGGCTTCGCCGGCCCCTGTCTCATGCCAGAGCCCAGTCCCCGAGAGGAGCATGACCGTCATCGCTCGAGAGAGCGCCACGAGGGGCCCAGAAATTCTGCCAGGCGACCTCGGAAGCCCCCACGGCGCCCCAACAGGCGCGACCTGCGAAGACCTCCCCAGAGGAGCTGCGGCTCGGGCTCCAGAGGGCCAGCGCCACTCACGACCTCCCCTTGATCGATGCTCTGCAAACCTGGCCATCGCTCGGACGTCCATTCCCTGCGTTTTTGTCGGTTTCGTGCGTGGTTTTTTTGCTCGATGGTCCAGGATCGTCCTCAACGGTTCTCGCCGAGAAAAAGTGCACGCGTCCGAGCGATGCCAGGCCAGAGGAGCTGCGATTCGGGCTCCAGAGGGCCAGCGCTGCTCACGACCTCCCCATTGATCGACGCTCTGCAAAAATTGGCCCCAGGAGGGCGCCGGAGGCTCCCATAGGAGAGCCCCAGCGGCCTCCAGAATTGGCCGAGGCTCCCGCATGGAAAGCTCCGCGAAGGTGTTCATGCTTTTGGTGACCTCCTGCGTCTGATCAGGCCGTTTTGGCTGACTTCTGGGTCTACAGTCGGGGCGTTGACCTAAGGAACCCTAAATAAGGAACGAGGCCCCTGTTTCCCATAAGTTTAACTTCGATTTCCGATCGAGACCATAAGGAAAACCTGAAGCAAGCTGTGAAACACTTAAGGAACGCGGAGCCCCTCGCCAACCAAAAGGGTTCCTTCTTCAGGGCCCCGACTGTACTCAGGTTCAACCCCAGCTGCCGCATGCTCCTACACTCCCCTTGTGCAAGGCAACTCGCCCGGGGATCGTTTCCTGATGGATGGTGGGGATACGTGAATCGTCCAACAAGCATGTCCAGACTCACGATGGGCAGTGCCATAGGAGAGCGTCGAAGAGGATAGTCATGGAGAGGCGATAAGGAGAAGAAAGGAGGGGGCTGAACCTCGATGAGAGCGGCGGGAATAATAGTTGAGGCTCCTATCTCAGATTGGCGACGTCTGTTGACTCCTCAACTGTCCTAGGGGTCGGCGGAATGGCGTAAGCCACTTGCAGAAGACCATCGCGCATGCTGCGTGTCAGCAAGGATATCGCAGGCCTCCAGGGCTCCACCCTGGGGCCACTACAGGGCGTCGCCAAGCGAACCACCTGCAACGCCCGCTGAAGAGGATGAGGACGAGGGGAACTGGGTATAGCAGTAACCCAGTATCAGAGGTTTGCTGACGCATTGGCAGCCTCTTAGGGCAAGCCGACACGCCCAGACGCAGCCGCGCTGGGAGGAGGACTAGCGGGAGGATGGAGACGAACAAATAAATAATGAGGAGGAGGAGGAAAAAGAGGAGGAGGAGGAGAGGGAAGAGGAGGAGGAGGCGGAGGAGGGGGGAGGCTGCGGATCTCTGGCAGCGAGGGCTGAGAGATTTGCATAGGAGGACGGCCTACTTCAGCATGCCCACAACCTTTCCGGCGCGCGCCATCCAACTGCCCTGCTGCTCGAGCTGAATTGTAGCCTCCGCCAGCCGCTCGGTGCACTGGTGCGCCGAGGGCCGCTCGTCCGCGCGCCGATGCCAACAGTCCTGCACTAGCTGCCGCAGCGTCGCAGGCGTGGACCTGCTCCCGCTCAGGAGGCTGCCGGCGCCGCTGAAGCCCGGCCGCGGCTCGTTGCCCCGCAAGTAGTCCCGCAGGACGAGCTCGGCGTCCGGCCCGAACTGGTCCACGAAGGGCTGGAGCCCCGTGCTCATGAACCACATGATGAGCGAGAAAGAGTAGATGTCAGCCCTGTCGGTGTACTGCTCTGCGCGCACCACCTCCGGCGCCATGTAGCGCCACGTGCCCACGCCTCCGGTCATCATGGGCGCGCGGTCTTCCGACTGGTCCGCAAGGCTCGGTCTGACGATCTTGCTGATGCCGAAGTCGGTCATCTTGAGGTCTTTGTTCTTGGTGAGAAGCAGGTTCATGGGTTTGAGATCCCTGTGGATAATCGGAGAGGAGCAGTTGTGGAGGAAGCACAGCGCCCTGGCAACGGCGCTCGCCCATCTAAGAAATAGTCTCACTTCGGGCCTGTAGGGGCAGCCCCGCTGGCAAGCCTTCCTGTCGAAATAACGATCCAAGTCTCCGCCCTCCATGAACTCGGAAATCATGAAGGGCTGCGCACTGTAGATGCAGGCTCCGAGGAACATCACAAGGTCAGGGTGCCGCATTGTGGAGAGGATGCTGATTTCGTGCAGCACCTCCCTGATGTCGAGCCCCTCCTCCTCCTCCTCCGGCGCCGCGCCCTCGCGCCAGGTCTTCTTCAGCAGTGTCTTCGCCACCACCTTGATGCCCCTCCACTCCGCCACGTGCACGGCGCTCTTCAGGGTCTTGGCGATCACGGGGCCGAACTTGACCTCCCTCTCCTGGATCATCCAGTTCACCGTGCTGGCGCTGGTCGCCCGAACGAAGCCCCCGACCTGCCCCGGCAGGGCCACGTCGACGTCGCCGGCGGAGGGCCCCTCCCTCGAGCCGCCGGCGCCCTCCTCTGGCCATCGCTCGGACGTCCACTCCCTGTGCTTTGTTTTTTTCGCTTTCGTGCGTGGCTCTTTCGCCAAGTGATCAGGGATGCTCCTCGATGGTCCTCGCCGAAGGAAGCATGCACACGTCCGAGCGATGCCGAGTCCTGTAGCGCTTGCAGCAGCAGGGTCGCGACCTCCTCGTGCTGCTGGTTCACCGCGGACGAGAGCGCAGTGTTCCCGAAGTTGTCTCTGTGCCTCACGTCGGCCCTGAGGTCCAGCAGCTCTCTCGCGAGGTCGTGGTACCCGTATGCAGCTGCGACCTAAGGGGAACGAAGCATGACATCAACACAAAAACTCGGAGGTCCGCGCGGATTTCTCGGATCCGCGCGGGACCCTCCTGGCGGCGCCTCCGGCGCCGCCCCTGGCGCGCTCCGCGCGCCAGGGAGGGGGCTCCGGCGCGGATCCGAGAGATCCGCGCGGACCTCCGAGTCTTTTTATGTTTGTGGTTCATGCCAGTCTTCGTTCCCCTAGACTTGTGGATGCCATGACAATGGACACTCTGACAGTCCTTTCATTGAATTAAAGATGTGTTCAAAGTGTGTGAATCATGTTCTAAACATGTTTCAGACATGTTTTTAACGTCTTCAAAACATGTTTGACACATCTTACAATTTAGACATCTGGAAAGTATTTGGCAGCATACTTCCTCTCTGTTAATCGGCTTCCGCAGCCCTCGGGGATGGACAGAACCCCCTTTAGCAAAACGTGGTTTAGTGAAAACGACCTCAGGCCCAAATCTGGCGGGCGAAAGCCTGGAAAATGACGGCCACAGCGCCCTCTCGAGTACCGAAAACGGACAATTCACTAATCGACGTGTCAGGGCAGGGGTTCTTGAAGGGGCCCTGGGACACACAAAGAAGTGCACACAAATAATGAACCAGATTCCCCACATTCTCCCATATTTTCGGGGTTCTTGTCTTCCCGCCACTTCCCACATTTTCGCACATTTTCCTGGGGATCGACGATTCATTGTGTCTGTGTGTGTGTTCTTTCCCCTCCTGAGTTCTGCCTACCCCCGAAGCCCTGGACCTGCAGGGCGATGCGGCCGTCGTAGTCCGTGGCGTTGACGTGGGCCCCCTCGGCGACCAGGCGGCGCAGCATCGGAGCGTTGCCCGCGGCCGCGGCGCAGCACAGCTGCATGCCTAGGGGAAGAAACAGTGACATAAACATAAAAACTCGGAGGTCCGCGCGGATGTCTCGGATCGGCGCTGGGGACCCCCGGCGGCGCCTCCAGCGCCGCCCCTGGCGCGCTCCGCGCGCCAGGGAGGGGGCTCCGGCGCGGATCCGAAGGATGGCAAAAAACGAAGGATTGCAAAAAACGGAGGGCTTTTCTGCAATCCTTCGTGCAAGGTTTTTTTTTTTGGCAATCCTTCGAGATCCGCGCGGACCTCCGAGTCTTTTTATGTTCATGTCATGTTTCGGCTCCCCAATGCCGGCCGCGTCCGCCCGGAGCTCCGCCCGGGCGGCGCCCGCGCGGGGGCTGCTCCTCGGCGAGCTGGCGTTCGAGAGCTCCTCCAGCCCGCCCGC